AATCCTGAGAAAGAATTTCATATAATATATATATATATATATATATATATTGTAACGTGTTTAGTTACTGAAGACGCCGTTTGGATTGTTAATTGGTTTATTTAACAACCTACAAGTATCGGCTACAATTAATTACAACACTGTTGCGGGGTTTCACATTTTATAACCTTATTCACAATAATCTCTTCACACTGTTGCAGGGTTTCACACTTTATAACCCTATTCGCAATAATCTCTTCAAACTGTTCAGTAGTCTACACATATTCACAGTACGGGAGCTATACAAGTGCAACTGTATCACACACTCCCAATTATTACTCAGTTATCACAAACTATCACTGATTATCACACACGCATCCCGTGCTTCTTTCCGCAATGGCTGCTATATTCCAACTTAACCCTAACGGCTCACTGCTGGCTAGATTCCAATTCAACTCGTAGGCTGCTGCCTTGAGAACTGTCTTCAGCCGCTGATACACTTTAACTTTGTTACTCCTGATCACGCACTAACTCGTTCACTGCTGACTGGAGAACTCACTTCGGTGGCTGATACACTTTTAACTGCTTTCGGTGGCTGTGTAGTTCCCTTATATAGTCGCAGTGTCTGCCTGTTATGTAATGAGTACCGCTGTTGCCTGACGCCGTGTCGACACTGGCGTTGCGTGCCTTGTCACAGTAGGAAGCGGTGCCACATAGCCCCGGGGGGGGGCTATGTCACCGTGGCCAGAGCTGCCACGTCACTGCTGGGGGAAGGAGGAGTTGTCCTCCATTGCGCAACATGTCACAATATATAGGATTTGTTGCCTTAAGTTCCTGGGAAACATGAAAGAAATTAACCCTTTGACGTGGTCATTTAAATTCCGCGGCCGCGGCTCCTGCGGTAATATATTCAGCCGGCCATTTAAATTTTGCTCGAAAATTATTTATTCATCATTGTTCTTAAATTCTATGAGATAGGAACATGAAACTTTCACTAAAATGATCTTAAAAGGTGGTTTTATAACCTTACCTTATAATATGAACCCCCTTTATATCTTCAATGGAAGCAGGTTGTTTAGTATTTGAGCAGTGAATGGTACGCTTTGAAGGATGAAACTTTCACTAAAATGATCTTAAAAGATGGTTTTATAACCTTGCCTTATAATATGAGCACCCGGTATCTCGGCTATGTAAGCAGGTGACGCCTTGAAGCATTAGTCTAAACACAGCGCTGGCTCAGATTCACCAAACCAATACTGCGTATCTTTACTTTTGCTTTTTTTTTTCTAACCACACTTCTGTGCGGCCCTGCCTTCTTCCCCGTGGGGGGAATACAAGTGGAAATGTCCCTCCGTGAGTCGTATATTTTGACAGATTAGCTGCAGTAAATTCAACCTTTGTGTTATCATAAGAAGGGTTTGGTGCTTCTGCGTTTCAGATTCCAACCTTTTCGGCTCCCCAGATGTCGTAGGGGTGACCACAGAATTCATGAATTTATTATAAGAACTGGCTGGTATATAGAGGAAGAAAGCAGAGCTTAGCTGGCTCAAAAAAAATAGTTATGGTCATCCCTCGAAACGACCACCAAGGTCAGTACGATAAAATGGCGTCAACTGGAGCGATAATGAGTACTTTTCCCTCCCCCACACACATCCGTATCGTCTCAGGGGGTGACCACAGTGTTCTGCCTTAAATTGTGGCGTTTTTCTCAGAACTGGGCCTTTGTACTGTGCGAAATCAATGGATCATGCGAGAATAAATTTATGGACAACCCTATTCTAAGAATTCCAGTTGAGTGTGTCAATGTGGCCAGCTCAGGGCAATATGATATCATATACAACAGTAAACATCACGTCTCTTCTGTTTATATCTTCAAAGCAAAGAAAACACGCTTTCATAACAGTACAGCTAGAAACCGCTCGCCAGAACCACAGGAACTTTGCTGCAAGACAGGCATATGTAACGATGAATTGGCACAGATAAAGTCGTGTCTTATTTATACTCTGTTCTACTGACAACAGGCCAGCGAAAAATCTAACAATCTACAGCAAAACCATCAATTATTATGGGCGTTATAACATAGGTGTGCAGCTGAACGAAACATACACGTCGAACCCCCCCAGACGATTTAAATCCCTGACGAAACATACACGACGAACCACGGCAACGGGTTAAACCCCAGACATATATCTGCATAGCAACTTACATGCAGAGAACATTCCATTAATTGTAGATTCACTAATTTTTAGAACCACGCATATGCGTTCCGATTTTACTGTGTGTGGTAAAATTGGAAGATTATTTTTTATTTTCAAACACTCCATGGAAGAAAGAATGAACATCTCTGGATCACTTTCATAAACTGAGAAGTTCTTGCAGGATGTTTCGTAGACATAATTGGTTTCTCAAACTTGCCTCCATAGAAAGAAGATGGCTAGCTATAAATGCAGAATGCTTTTAGAAAATAATTGTCATTCTGTTGGTTATACTGTGTGTATATGTGTGAGTGCATGTGTATAGTACAGGATAAATAATGAATCTTAAAATTGTATGCTTAACAGTAGAAATATATTAAAATTCCCATTAAGATGTCATATCCCTTTACCATCCACTGGGGCTCTGGGTGCACCATGATTTTTTGAAGGTTACTGAAACTTAGCAAAGTTTCTTCTGTTTTATGAAAGCTGTAAAGAAAAGACACTTCATATGGACCAGTGGAGAGCCATAGTGGTATTAAAATTTGACCAGAAAGGGACAGAGTACATAAATATACATCAAGCCTGGAACTTTTCCTGCACAGTAAGAGGAGAAATGGCCATTCCTTATCCAGTATAAGCTCTACCCACAGCAGATAGCTCTTCTATTGCCACAGTAAGGAAATATAGCATGTTAAATTTACAAGAAACAGAAGTAACACACATGGACGGACACAAAGCTCTTGCACCAGTGTTCACATGTAACAGTTGAGTTTTTTGTGTATGGTTTTGTTATTGTTTGTTCATTTGTTCACCCCCCCCCCAAAGCAGCAAAACGTTATCTGCAGGTATGTTAAAGATTTTGTGAATGTTGGCATTAATGTGGTCAACCTATGAATGATGGTCTGTTGAAGCATTGTACAGGAGACCTCATTGAACACACACACAACTTGTCATCCTCAAGGTTGCTTACACAAGGTTTGATGTACCCTGGTTCCAGAACTGGTCCAAGATTAGTGTCCTGTTTCTTTATTTCATCTCCCACAAGGTCTGCTAACAGTTAAAAACTTTCTTGTTTTTTCCTATAAAATGATCTATTTCTTTCACTGTCTTGGACAAGTTCTCTGGCTACAGAAAAACTGCTGACTTCTCTCCTTCTTTTGATGTTTAGGTGTGTCTGGTAGACCCAGTATTTTCTTCCCATCACCTTCAATTTTCATCTTATCTGCCAGACAACCAGTATGTCCTCTTCCTCTGATCAATGTGCAAGGTCTGTATCATGCCATTGTACTGCTATTATATCACAAACAGAGTCCTGTTGGGAGCTTCCAAACTGTAAGGTGGACAGACTGGATAGAAAGACACATAAGAATGATTGCATTATGAAGTATATTCAGTGAACTGTAGTGTGGATGACGTGACAGTGGTGTTATATGTTTGCATGTCTAAAATGTTGTGATATTCTCATTTGTATTATATGTATTGTGACATGTCTAACCATTGCTGGGCAACGGAAGGTGGAATGAGTTACCACGAAGACAGACCCTTGAGAAACGGTCGGTTGCCAAGTTACGCAACAGTGGAAACGAGGTTATGCAACAGTAAGAAAAGCAGTGTTTGTCCATGCCGAGCTGTAGCGCGCTGGTTGCTATGCAGCATTGCCCAGCAATGCCTTTGTAAACATGGCATCACGCAACAGGGGAGCCTGTGCAGTGACTGTTGCTAGGCAGTTGGTAAACACAACATCACGCAACAGTGAAAGCTATCACGTAACTGTTTTCTGTGTTGTCAGTGCGGAAGCTACATGACAGGAGTATTCGTCAGTGAGAGAGAGTAACCAGTCAGTTGCAGTCTAGCATTCGCCAGAGTCAATGGAAGCAGTGGAAGTAATTGTGATACTGCCGATGGCAGTAGTTGTGGAACTGTAAATTGTGTAAATGTAAGAGCGAATGTGCAATAAATTTGCTAGATCTAGAATGGCGTGAAGTTATTTGTCACATCAGACACCCAACATGTGACAGTATATTACATGCTGGAGAAGAGCAGGAAATTTGTAAATGATGTTGCTTGAATTTGTTAGGGAAGGAATGGAATTGGTTAATAGCACTCCCTAGGCCATTCATTCATTCATTCATCAGTAATCTGTCAGACGACAGGTCCCTAGGCCATAGTCAGCAAATATTAAATGCATAATGAAAATTATATATTACAGCTGGGAGCCAGCTGTTGAAACTTTTGAGCCCATACCAAGCAGTTTATCAGAATGGTCCAATTGTTACATCTGCATCTGATTCTGCTACTGCAATGGGAAGCCCAGAGTCCAGTGATTGGGTACCAAGTCCAGCAACTCCATTACTAAAGAAGAAGAAGAGAAAGTTCCCTGAAGCAGGTAATGTTACTTTAAGATCTAAAAGTACATTAATACAGATATTATGTTTTTGGACATATCCACTGTCCTCTTTTTATTTAAAACAAAACGTTTTGGAGACTGGATTCTGTCTCTGTCTTCAGATAAAACTTAATCAGTTGGGCCCAATCGATAGAGCTAGTCCCTATTTTATAAATACAAACCACTCCGTCCAATGTGACACATAAGTTTTTACTACGTTAAAACTTATCTCCCTTACATGTTTCGGTCCTTACGGGCCATCTTCAGAGGAAACATCATTACAAACTGGAAACTACCATCACAATAGGTGTTTTGATTTAAAATACATACAGTTGTATCTTATAATGCACAGTACGCTTAAAGTCGAATGTTTCACAATCACAGCAGCTTCCTGGTGTTGTAAAGTACAGACACGAACCTATGTGGTTTAACAAATTTTAAATATTGACAATAAAGGTTTTTTAAATAACATCTAGAAACTTTTAAAAACTTTTAGTTTTTTTACTTCTGTTGTGATCACAGGAGTCCTGATGGGAGAGATGTCCAAGCTGGGTTGTCTTTTAAAAAAAAACAATATGATGGAAAATGTCCAGAAACAATATTTGTATTAATGGTACTTTAGTTTTCTATTTTCATTACATAGTGAATGACCTCTGTTCTTACTCCATGACTGAATAACTACGGGGCAAACATTTAATTTAGAACCCACAAACATTTTAATAACTTCATATTAGAGATATGAAATATAGAATTAGCATTTTTGTGTGACATCTATTTGTTACAAGAAATGTTGGAAACTAGCTGCAATGATCCTGGTTAAGTTGTCTCCATTTTGATTGAATGCAGCACACTGCTGAATATCTGAGTCAGAGCAGGCATCCATTGTTAGGCACTGGCTAGGTATCCATGGTTCTGTATCGTCAGGGTGACGATGAAACAGGTTCACGTGATAACGCATAAATGGCAGACGTTACCACGGAAATGAAAAGCAGAACTCGTGCAGTTCCTGTGGAAACAAATACACTAGTGACTGGTGCATAGAACACGTGAAATGGAACCCTTGAAGGTGTCTTCTAGTCTGTCCGACTGTAGAATATAAGAGACCAGACCAGAACAGAGGCGAATGGAGCAGAGCTGAGAGCAGAAGAAACCAGCTCAGCTGAGAACCAGAAGATGACAGACTAGCCAGGTGGCATCCTGCGGAAGACATTATTTCTTAGCGATTGTAATTGCATTTGTAAACAACTTATCCAATAAATAGCTTCGTCTAATCCGGAACCCATTAATTTCTTGCCACGTTACCAGGAGATGTGGCAATATGAAATGAACACAGAGACAGTTTTTACCTGTGAATACGTGAACCAACCACCCACCCAAATAATGAACAGCGTGTAACATCACAGCACACTAAAACGCTATGTTAAGTGAACCTTTCTTCACTGTCCCATAACAAAGACATCAGTCTTCAGGAAATGCAATTTAATTATTTTTTTATGCTCAGTGATTTTTTTATTCACCTATAATTTAGTTATCTTCATATTATAAATATCAAGTGAATAAGACTAAAAAGAATGGTTAAATTGGCAATAATGTAATCTCATAGTTTCATGGTTTGGACTGCCACCATTAGATGGCAGTATACATACTATATCTAATTTCTGCTACTGGAGGGCAGCAGACACTAAGGTAATTGTAATAATATCTTTATTTTAAGAGTGAGATATTGCACTGTATCATTTTTGTAATCTTTAGAACAAAATTAACTGAAATATCACTAATGTGTAAATTCCTCAATTGCAGCCCATAAACAGAAGGGATGTGAAAGTAAAAAAAATTACACCTAAAGGCACACCCTTAAGCCAGGTCCAGACTTGTAGCATATCTCCGTATCGTATCAGTGTGGACGGTACCCTGTATCATCCTTCCATTGCAAAATGTTAATACCGTGATATGCAACGGGCTGTTCGCTCACTTAGCGGTCTCTTCCCATCACATCAAAGGGACGACACGTGTTGCAGTGGTGCCAGGCTGGACGTGCACGCATTGCAACGTGACGAATGCCAACACTTTGGAAATATTAAAGAACTCAAAACTTATATTGAAAAGTGTTTTTTATGTTTGCTGATGTTCATTACTTGGCATCTGAGCAGAGTGACCCATGCACCTATTGACAGGTACCTGTCTCTGGATGGATGTGCTCAACTTTTCAGTGCAGCCAAAACTCAAGGGCTGCCACAAAAGTAACGTCAGTACCGTTTTGTATAGTCTGAATTCCTCTTTGTCTGTACCATAATATCTACTGGCACTGATATTGCTTTCCAAATTACTTCATTTCAATACCTCAGTATTCTGTATATCAATTATTAGTGCCCTTTTAGATCTCTTGTGCTTAAGAACAGGCCATGTTTTCAGACCTGCTCTGTGGATTGCACTTGAGAATTATAGGCAGAAATAGAGGTACTGTGGTTGCAGCTGCGTTGTGAAAGGGAGGGAGGATGATGCACTTGTAACTAAGGACCTTGACTAACCTATACATTTTAGGGCTGTGCCATAGCTCAAGAGGTTAGTCGCTGGCTTCCCATCGCGGCGGCCCAGGTTCGATCCCTGGTGTGGTCAAGTGGGATTTGTGGTGGACAAAGTGGCACTGGGGCAGGTTTTCTCCGAGTACTTCGGTTTCCCCTGCCAATCTTCATTCCGCCAATTGCTCCACAATCACCCTCACCTATCATTTGGGGCTGGTACAATAGGCCAGAAGTGGCCGCAGTACAAGGGACTTTTAGTCCCACCCCACTAGCAATAAAAAAACCCTGTATATTTTACAGTCCTCATCTCTATGGATTTAATCACATCCACTGAACATTCTGTTAGGAATGGCCATGTTTGAACACATGGACAGTACTGCTGGTTCTTAGTGTTATGAAGTTTACAGTGCAGTGACATGTTTACATCCTGACCCTAGCATGGAGGACCAGAATATTCCAATTAATCTTGTCTTCACATGTCTTGATTTGAAGGATTAATGAAGTGATAAGTGCTGTTTGTCTGAAGTCTCTCTTTTCTCGTTAATTATGCCTTTGTGTGCATTTGGGGGGGGGGTTGTTGAATTGTATCCTGCATAAAGTAGTATTTTCTGATGTGGATTGAAGCGACATTTTGTAATCTTGGTTTTGTTATATATTTAATAACTTCTTTTGTTTCTTTTCTCAGCAATTCCTGCCTTAATCAAACTCATCCATGGTAATGTCAATAGATGTGCGTTTTTAGTAAAAGAATTCTTGGCATATTGGGACAAAGAGCAACAAAAATCGATAGATGGAGTGGGAGAAGGCCTAGCAGAAGGAAATGTGTCAGCATCGCCATCGCATGACATTTTCAAGAAAAGTGTTTCAAATAAGATTAAAGAGCTAGCAACTTGGCTAGCATGTCCAGATGCAGGTCCAATGAATGGCCGTACGTGCTGGTATGTCCCTTCAGAGATACGTGCAGCCCATGGACTTCCTGATATCACTCTTCCAAACACATTGTGGGATTACACTTTTAAACCAAAAAGACGTGAAAGTGATATCCAGACGCCTACTTCGACCCCAGCACTCGGTAGTGAGACAAATCCTAAGCAGCTGATTACAAAGTTTACTAAGAAAATGACAGAAGTGGAGTGTAGGAAGCAGTTCAGTACTGCACCAATGGCAGAGGAGACCCCAAACAAGAGACAAGAGAATGGTAGTTCTCCACACAATGATAAGACCCAGAAGAAGTTAAAGTTCAGTTCGTCCAGTAGGGCATTCACATTGTCCAAGACTGGTAAGCAACATAAAAAAAAGGGACTAGTGTCTTTACCAAAGGGGCAGGAGTTACCTAAAGCTTGCAATAATTCACTTATGAAATTCATGAAACAACAAGGTAGCAGGTCAAGTGGAGGCAACAGAATTGTTCCTCATTTTCTGAACAGTGATAAGCTGGACCATGGAGGTGAAGAGTGCATTGTTTTAAGTGACTGAATAATAAGAAATTATAATCAAAGCTGACCTGTTTCAAATATTTGTTGATGTTTTTATTAGTATGAAATAATAAACTTTTTAGTGCAGTTTCATTCTGCTTCATATGTGATGAAAACTGAATAAACTGTCACCATGATTGTGTGAAAGAAGAAAAGGAATGGGTAATTTTCCATGAGGTATATGTATAGCGGGCCGGTCATGGTAGCCGAGCGGTCTAAGGCATGTACTGTCTCCGCTCGCTTGGAAACCAGGATTATGGGTTCGAATCCCACTCAGGGCGTGGATGTTTGTGTGCGTTTTTCTGTGTTTGTGTACAGGTAGAGGCCTTGCAACGAGCTGATCACCCACCCAAGGAGTCCTATCATATGTGTAAGATATAGAAAAACCGAAGTGAACGGAGAAGTACATGGAGGTAGGCCTAGGCCCACTGGGGCTGTAGTGCCAAGGAAAAAAAAATATGCATAGTAGAGTCAGGGGGTTAATTGAAGCTCAGCACATGGGGTAGCAGGCACAGTAGCCCATTCACTGCTGTTTAAATAATTCCTAGTGTAACTCCCTGTGCTGAAGTAATTTTACAATACTACTTTATGAAAGTAAAGTGAAATAAACTAGAAATTTAAATAATACATACATACCAAATCTTACTTTATGTAATGAAGATGATTTGGGTTGATTTGGATGTATCAAAGTTTGCTGTACACAGGACAACACTGCAGCGGTCCTTTATGTTTATAGTACACTGTAGAGTAGCATACACTCTGTTAAGTGATTTATTTAATTTGAGGTGTTAATTCAATTACAGAAGACTGTATTTAGTCCTTTGCTGGGTGTATCACTTTATTTTGACCCAGTTTAGAGGCCCCAATGCCGGTTACATAGAACTTCAAGAGCATGATACTTCTAAAAGCAAGGTTATACACTGCCTCACGTTGCACTTGGAACACACATACCTGCTCACTTTTCTCTATGTCTCAGCAAGAGTTGTGTTTGTACAGATATGACAATGTCTTGCTGAATTCTTTTTCTTCTCTGTTGATGGAACTAGTAATGGCAAATGTCTTTCAGTAAATCAAAGTGATTGGTCTAGGGATGATGGTCCTCCTGTTTTTGCAGACGGTTTTTCTTTGTGGTATTTTTGGAGTGTTTCTCTAATGGGAGTGGGCGGAAAATCTGCCATTTAAATATTTCTTATTAATTTCGCATTATAGACAGCCTGAAAATTCAGAAGGACATTGCCAAGGAAATGTAAAAATAATTTCTTGTACTACTTCAGTGATTTTCTTATGGAAATAATAATCATATCGGATCAGTCTACTGCACCCATGTTATTATTGTATTCTGTAATGTAGAGAGATTTAATTCTCAGTTGTGATGCTTGTCCTTTTCTCTTCTGTACATCCCCCTATCTGTCCCATTTCCAGTTTCTGTATGACTTTAGGCTTCTCCTTCCTGTTTCAGCTGACTGTGCCACATGTATTTGTTGTTTATGGAGCCAATTAAATAGCTTGGGGCTCAAAATACCAGTTATTCACCCACAGAATATGCCTTTTGTTAAAATATCTGGTCATTAGTGTTTCTACTACAGCATCAGAAATGCTGGTATCATGTTGTGGAATGATGTCTGATGTTGTTACTGCATAGACAATGAAATCTAGTATATATCCAGTTTTTCCCTCATTTATTGACAAATTTTATTCCAAATTAACTCCTTTTAGAAGGAATGAAATTGTGGAAGGTGAATCAACCCTTGAAGAGAACCAGAATATCATCAGTTCATATATTTATCAATGGATGTAACTTATCACTGAAATGTTTCCTGAGATTCTCAACTATTGGCATAAGTTTATACATTCTACCACCTGAATGCTATTGCTTGTTGTCACAGAAATCAGTAAACACAGCAGTAGCAAGTATGACTGCATGTGTCTGAGGGTTAGATTTGAAAGTTGATGAGTTACCAGGAGGGGATCTATCAGCCACTGTTTTTTTAATTGTTAATTGGTTTGCAAGGATCATAAGCATAATCATTGCAAAAAGTACATGCAGTTTTCATGGCTCTGTGTTTTTCCACTGCTTGCGGTGAAGGCAGGTGTAGCTGGTGTTCTGCTCGTGACTAACTAGGTTCTACTGGAAAGTTCCCGGACTACGTCAGAAAATAAATGTTGGCTTAACTTACTCAACTTTGGCTGCCATCTTCAAACTCTGTTGTTTTCAGAGACATGTGGGCAGGCGCATTGTTGTGATGAAGGAACTAGTTGTGGTTGCGGCAAAGTTTCTGCCTTTTTCGTCTCACATTTTCTCTCAAGCTTTTCATAATGTCACAGTAAAAGAATTGACCATAGTGTTAGGAGGAACAAATTCATGGTGAACAATCCCCCTCACGTTTAAAAGAAACAATGAAGGCACTCTTTATGTTGTACTCCAGATCTACTCCACTTTTTTTTTTTTTTTTTTTTTTTTTTTTTGCTCTTGGTGCTTATGGGTTCTTCCACTACGACGATTGTTTTGTTTCTGCATCATAACTGTAAGAGTTAATCCAACTTCCGTCACCCATTATAATCCTAGAAATACTCATAAAAGTTGGGTCCTCATTTGCTTTCTCTTGTAGCTCAAACACACATTTCCACGCTGCTTCTTTTAATCATTTGTTGAGAATTGGGGAACAAACTTCGTGGCAATGCAGCAAATGTTCAAATTTTCTTTTGATATCTCCTGGCAAACTCCATAACTGATCCCAAACATGTCTGCGAGCTCATGGATTGTTTGGTGATGGTCCTGTGGGTGAGTTCTCAAATTTTTCAACATTTTCTGTCGTTTTGCAGGTGCTTGGTCGCCGTGAACGTTTGTCATCTTCAACTGACACTTAACCAGCCTTGAAACGTGAATGTCATTCAGAAACCACTCTCTGGCTTAAAGATTGTTTTTCAAAAGCCTCACGAAGCATTTCAGTGGTTTCAGTGGCAGATTTACTGGGTTTCAGGCAAAACTTTATGCAGACAGTTTGATTTGTTTCATTCTGGTCCATCACAATAACAATTACAAATTATAAATCACTCTGTCCAATGTGACCTGTAAGTTTTTTACTACACAAAAACTTAACACCCTTACATGTTTCGGTCTCTGTGGACCATCTTCAGAGGGCAAACATCACTACAAATAGGAAACCACCATCACATAATTTGTTTACACGTAAAGTACGTACACTTATATGTTACAATACATAGTACACAGAATAGAACATTTCAGTGAAAACAGCACAGCAGCCACGAGCAAACCCTGGACGATATAAAGAACCTCCACATCAAGATAGCCAGGTGGCATAATATCTGCCCCATATAAGAGAGACGATGGGAGGACGAACACGAGCCTGCATGGTTTACGAATTTTATTTATTGACAATCTAAAAAACTTTTAATTAGCATCAAGGAATTTTATACAATTTTTAAAACTTACATTCCCAGGAAACTGCTGTGTTTGTGAAATGTTCTATTCTGTGTACTATGTATTGTAACATATAAGTGTACGTACTTTACGTGTAAACAAATTATGTGATGGTGGTTTCCTATTTGTAGTGATGTTTGCGCTCTGAAGATGGTCCACAGAGACCGAAACATGTATGGGTGTTAAGTTTTTATGTAGTAAAAAACTTACAGGTCACATTGGACGGAGTGATTTATAATTTGTTTATGCAGGCACTTTGCTCAATTTGCCATCCATTGCAGACAAAATGAAACAGGAAGTCGAAGAAGTACTCGAGTAGGAATAATATGTGTTCACAGCACGGTGTTAAGTGGCAGACTGATGCAATAGGTTTGCGGAAGTGTTACCTTGGCCTCCTGTCTCATATTCTTTCACCTAGGCAGTTGCGAAGTAACAGTCCAGGAACTTTCTGATAGCACCTCGTATGTGTAGAAATTTGTTTGCTTCATTGGCTGTTGTGTTCATAATATCAGGCGGGAGAAACAACTGAAAATAGATCAATACTGGGGATTCTTCAGTTATGTTACCTGCTAAGATTCTGGCAGTGGTGTCATATTTGTGTACAGTAGAGTTGAATGCACTGTCTCTCCACTGATATTCAGGGTGTTCAACCATTGAGGAAACCTGGCAGCAGCGCTGAGCAGGAACAGAATTCCTCACAAATTGCTGCTGTAACTGCCGATAGTGGAACGAGTTATTAGCACTAATAAACGTACGCCATCAGGTGGTCTGATCTTGTGACTGCATTAAGTCTCATTAATAGTCCGTCTGTGTTAGAGGTGTTGATAGGCGGTCAACATTTATACTGAAATGAAGTTAACTGTTGAACAACCTGTGTTTATAGTTTGAAACTTTTGCAAGGATAAAAACTTGAAGAAAATGTATCTGTAAATTTCGTCATAAGTATCCTGACTCGCCAGTTCCCATGAAGTTGTGTGTATCCAAGCTTGTGAAAAAGTGGTGTGTTATGCCATTCTGCAGAGCTTCAGTGCTGCGAGAATTATTCTTTTAGACTTTTCCCTTTAGATTTCCCAAAAAATAAAAATCGCAAAATCAGATCTGGGAGGCCACAGTCCTCTGCTGATTATTCTCTCTTCAAACACTTCCCGTATTGCAACCATGGTTGCATTAGCCATATGTGCTGTGTCATTGTCTTGCTGAAAATACCCATATTGTCTTCAACAGTCAGCTGATTGAAGAACGGATTCAGTATATCATTAACGTAGCTGTCAGTGTTCACAGTTTCCTGGAAAAATAAGGGGCCAATAATTCGCACACCATACCCCCACACTTTCACTATATATTGGCACTTGCTGTATAGCGTGAGGATTTTCATCGCTCCATATTCATTCATTTTGTGCATTGACATGACCACTAACGTGACACCACGCCTCATCAGTTGTGAACAGAAGCTGTGGATCTACGATTCAATTGTGCACATTTTGCAGCAGCCGGTTACAAAAACAAATTCTTGCTGCATAATCTGGTTGGTTGTTTCAGCTCATGCACAATTGTTATTTTATATGGTCAAATTTTAATTAATTTTGTGGCTGTGAAAGCAGATCCTAGTGAAACACCGGTTGTTTGTGCTAAGCGTCTTAACAATTTTCAAGGACTGATGTGTAGTTGGGCCTCAGTATCCTGGACCTTTTCCTCAGCCAGCACAATCCTCTTCGATTGTTCTTTATGTCACACACTGAACCTGTGGCTTGTCACTTTTTCACAAGCTTGGATACACGTGACTTTGTGGGAACTGGCAAGTCGGGATATTTACGACTAAACTTA